TATGTGCTCGCTTCGTTACCTCTCAATTTTGTTTCACTCGTATTGTTCGTTGCCTTACATCGGTTATTGTCGTGGTCACTGATGCAGCATATTATCCTATGGATGTCATAGAGTTGATGTGAGTTGGTTTAGCTAGCTCGAAGCCCGATTATTCACTTAAAGGAGTCGTACGCCAAGAGAACGAACTCTTGACTGCAATTTCTCTAGCACAAAACGAGCGATCACGATAAGGTATGTGCAGAATGGAAATATATGTACCAGTGGGAGCGGTAGTCTAGAGCCGAAGCAAGCAAGATGTGGCCTTCCAGCGACCAAAGGAGCGCTGGTTGCAGCGCACTGGTCTTGCAGCCACTTACTGTGTTCCGCCTCCGTCTTTGCTCCGCCCACCATTTCCTGTAAGTTTTCTGTGGAAAACGTCATCAATCGAAGCATGATGTTTGTTGGTAAGATGGTGGCACTGTCGGAGGACAACAGGCAAGTGAAGAGATCCCATTTCGTGCGTTCTTGACGAAATTCGTTGCTTTCCACCACTGGGGTATCACTCACATTTCTATCTGCACTATATGTCCAACTCCATTGTCGTAATTCTTCGCCTTAAATCTGCATATGCCGTAGAACACTATTCTATTGCTCAGAGTTCGCTCCATAAAGAGATGTAACGGTCAGGATAATTCAAATGTGTCTGTCTATTCTTGACAAAATAGAGAGCTCATGTTTCTAGATTCTTTTGGTGTGTGAGGACTAATTTTTGCATGACAGAGGTCCCCTTGATGTGCACTTCAGGCGGCATGCAGCGTAGCCCATTAGCGCTTTCAGGCGACCAAATTGGCCGCGAGTTCTTTGCAGTTCCGAGTAACAGTTAGCAAAAAAATGAAGCAGATGATATTCTTAACTGTTTATCTCAGTAATGTCCGTAAATAAATAATAACGCTCTATTCGCTATTTGCTTGCATATCAAACGAATCAAAAGCTCTGGGTTGAACTAGAACTCAGGGATCAATCAAACATGAGGGGGAATCTTATTCCGTGCACAATATTATAATACATCACATGTTAAGGACTCGATAAAATTCTGTAGTGTTTAGCCGAAAAACCGAAGAAGATCGGAACAAAATCCCTCCAGTGAAATATCCTGAGCAAGGAACTTGCAGGGAGGGTCTTTCAGGGGTAATCTCGCTTTTTGAAACGGTTTCTTGCATATTGTAGGGACGCATGTATGGACACAAAACCATGTTTCGTTTTCGCTGAACGGTTTTAGCAGTACCAAAAAAGTGGTGAAAGGTACTGTTGAGGTTCCCGTGGCGACTAAATTTTGCATTTGGGTTGGCGCCTACGGTTTGGTGCCAAATCGCGCTAAATATCAAAATCAGATGTCATAATTCATCGTCAGGACCATTTTGAAGCCAACAAGTGGCCGCCAACCTTGATTGCAAAATTTAGTCGCCGCGGGGGATCGAACCATCAAGAGTATTATTCACTACTTTTTGCTACTACTAAAACCGTATCAGCGAGAAGGAAAAATGCTCTTGTGGTCAATACATTATACCCTAGAATGCGCAGGAAACCAAAAAAAGCGGTCCGCCCTGAAAGACCCCCGAGTTGGCACAAATTAACAAAGCAGGGCAACATGAAACCACATCTTACAATGAAAGATACAAAATTCAGAGATCTCAGAGACGTTCAATCGTTTCATACTGCAGAGCTCGTCGTTGTTGATATTCAAATGCACGACAATGCTCGAATTTCGCCCCTCCCACAAAATTCTTCGGATCGAGCGGTTCACATTCACCGGAGCAAGTCCTCGGATAGCAGAGGAAGGAGATGTGTCGAATGTCAATAAGCGATGACAGATGAAAGGCACCGTAGGCTGCGATCATCACATATTCCATCATAGCGTAGATCCTTGGCACTGCAAGACGGTTTCTATAAGGCTTGCTGTGCATGTCACAAAGCTCATGCAAAGAGCCCAGGATCACTTTTGTCATCTACTAGCCCGCCGGAAGCACCAAAAAAGAGGAAAAAACATGTTAATAGTTCAGGTGCCGCAGCGGCCCATTTTTTACGAATTCGCGTCCAAAGGCTAACATCAGGTCCAGGTCATAGAGTATCCCTTACAGTAGAGGGTTCATGAGAAATAGAGAATTTGAGCTAACTTGTGCCAGAATTGTGGTTATGATCAAGGGTAGAGGTGAGGGTAAAGTAAATGTTAGGTTTACACATAATTTCGGAGACACTTTGGATGTTTTCCGATATAAGTACATATTTTATTTTTTGATGTATTTATTTAAAGGCACGAGTCAGGCTCAGTGGACCAAACCAATCCCTTTTGTCGTCTTTGTGCATGGCTACGCACCCACAGAGACGTTACCATGCTCAGAATCCCAAACGGCGCCGTAATAAGGCTCCAGGGCACGTATTAAGCGCTTTCGCCGCCTGGCGGCGCTCCGACCGCCCACCTCCGGAAGTGGTGCGTG